CCCCCTCCCCGTCCCCCTCAATCCGTGGCCTTTCCCCCGGCTTCCTTCCTCCTGACATATATATGCGTGTGGCTCGAACTGTTTTTCTGACGCTTCCCCGTTGCTCGCTGTGTTGCAGGTGGCCACGCTGGACGATGGGCAGAGGAGATGCGGATGCAAGGTAAGCTCACGAGCAGTTGTAGTTGTAGTGACTAATAATGTCAATGGCTTTATTCCTGTCGCAGAAAGACAATAGGGAGGGTGAACATTCAAAATAGCCGAATGCCGAAAAGAGGAAGCATGTTTTTTCGTATCTATGACACTCAGTGAACACCACGACTATCGACGTTGTGCCTACGTCAACTTTGAACATGCAGCATACCTGCTCTGCTCGGCTGCGTGCCGGCGTGCGCGAGGTCAGGGGTCAGGCCTTGTCCGCGGCATGCCGCCCGGCCCGTCACGACAGGGAGCGGCCGTATCGTCACATCTGCGTTCCACCTGATGCCGTGGCAAAATGCAATTTCTCCTTCCTGCAACAATTTCTTAATTTTTTTAATTAAAGGGTAAAACAACACTCTTTGCTTTTGCGGACCGAAGAACTATACCAACAGTGCTTTATTGTTTTCGGCAACTGCGGGTTTTGAGGGATGAGGTGGGAAGCGCCTCGAGGGGCAGCCGTCCTTCACAGCTTGACCCTCCACCCCCACCCCCTCCGCCTGCTCTGAGTCGCAAGAGTCACAAGGCCAGGGGCGCAGGGTGCACCCCCCCCAACCCCCTGGCAATTCGTCTGGCGTGCAGCGAGTGCATGTGGTGCACCTCATTTGTGCTCATCTTCCTCGGGTTGTGCTTTATTCGGACGAATCGCAGAATGGATGGAAATAAAAAACGTAGTCACGGAGCTTGGGATAATATTGATTTTCTTTCACTCTTCCGTTTTCGTTTGTTTTCTGTATACCGAAGGTCAACCGACTTCTAAACGACGAGGAAGGATTTCCACATTCAGGGTGGTCGCCCACGCCCATCCCTGTTGGCGGCAGAGGGCTGCGTGACCACCCTGTGGCTGATTCATCCCATTCAGATTTTAACAGCTTGACACAATCTCACAGGCGGGCGGGTGGGTTTGCCCGTTACAATATGGAGTACTTTAAGTAACAACATAGAATAACGGGTACAACTTAAACGCTCCCGATTGGTCGCGATCCTCTACCCAGCGTGGCTGAACGGCGGAAAAGCCGCCGCGATAACCAACCTGTGGAGCCATAGTACCCTAAAGGGGCCGCCGTTCAGGAGGACGACACCTCCGCCGCTGGCCAGCGGCCTCAACGAGCTCGTCCTCATACTGGATGCTCCGGAGCGCGCCGCGACGCGGCGGCTCAGCTGGCGGCCCCCTCCATAGGTGTGCTGGGGACGGCGGGGCGCGGCGTGGCGTGGCGTGGTGTGGCGGGGCGGGGCGTGGTGTGGCGTGGCGGGGCGTGGCATGGCGCGGCGCGACGGGTACGCCCGGCCCCCTCGACGCCGCAAACGGACTGCGGCCCGGTGAGTTCTAGGGGGCCGGGCCCGCGCCGAGGAGAGGGGCGTAGCGGTTGCGTGGCGTGGCGCTGCGTGGCGCGGAGGGCCCCGTGCGAGGCTCCTCAGTGTGCCCCGCTGCGCTCGGCCCGCCCGGCTCGGCTCGGCTCCGCAGAGCGCCGGTGTGAAGGAGCGTGACTCGGGCGACTTGCGTAAATCGTACCGACGCGACGAGCGTGTTCGTGCTCAACTCCCTCGAGACGATGGCCCGCGTGTCACGGAGAACGTGACGAAGAGCGTGAGCTGTGTGTGTGGTGGAGGTGCGTGTTCTTTTTCGCGGCGGGCGCGCCGAGCGATGACCCGCGAGTGGGGCCCGCCCGGCCCGCTCCGGGGGCCCGCCAAGGACGGCGCCGCGAGGACCGCGACGGAGCTGTGGAGGACGATGAGGAGGTCGCCGGTGTGGAACGGCAGGAAGAGAGGAAGAAGAAGAGGAGGAGGAGGAGGAGGAGGAGGAGGAGGAGGAAGACGAAGAGGAGCAGCGTTGTGGCCTCGTGTCAGTGACCTGGGGGTGTCACCTGGACGCCGTCAGCAAGCAGCAGGACACTGCCCTCGACACGCTCTCGCCCGGCTACGCCCGGCGACGTACTGACAACAGGCTCTTGTCGGTCGAGGCATGCGCCCTGGAACAACGGACAGGGTTTGTTTCCGTGCGCCGGCCCGGCGCCGCCTCAGACCATGCGTCACGTCGTGCAGCGCGCGCTGTACCCGGGGCCGGCGGGGTTTGTTGACGCCGCCCAAGGGTGGCGCCGCGCCGCCGGGGGACGCGCGGTCGACGGGGACGTTGACGGCGGCCGTATCGATCACTACCGCCCGGCGCGGCGCGACGCGACGCATCGCAAATGACTGGCGGTGCCGGGCCCGGCGCAGCCCGGCGCGAGGCTCGCAGGCCGGCCAGTCAGCTGAGCACACCAGCAGCGGTAACTACTTGGGCACCGCACCGGACTTGACCGCCCCGCCCGACAGCGCGGCTGCAAGGAATGGCCTGTGGGGTAGCCTGTGCACAACCTATGCGCTATCCGGTGGGCTAGCCTGTGCACTAGCAGGTGGAATAGCCTGTGGAGTAACCCATAGACTAGCATTTGGACCAGCCTGTGGACTAACCGGTAGACCAGCCTGCGGGCTGCCTGTGGACTGCGCTGGGCCGGGCTTGCAATCTTGCCGGAAATGAGGACTCCGTTTCGCGTTGGCGCGCTCTCGGGTGTCGCCATGTCGGCTGGGGCCACATCACATGGTAGATGGCTGGATGGCTGAGGGCCTCGTCAGCATTTCCAGAAAGGACCCCCGACCCCCGCGCCTCGCGCAGCGCAAGACGTTGTGTGTGTGTGACGGGTGGCGGCGAGACGCTGGGTGCGGCGCGGCGGGCGTGGCGGGGCGCGAGGGGCGCGAGGCGCGAGCTGCAGCTGGGGCTTCGCAGTCTGCACGACGTATGTACAGACCCCGCGCCGCGGAGCAGGCGGGGCGCCCCGGCAGCCGCAGACGCCAGACGCACGACGCGACGCGATTCACCTGTTGCATTTGAGGATTTTCACTTTTAGCCTGTAGTGGTCTGCAGTAGTCCACCAGCAGCGGTTCGTTTGTACATGCGGTGCGTGCGCGCGCTTGTGTGCGTGTGTGTGTGTGTGTGTGTGTGCGCGCGCGTGTGTGTGCGAGCGTGTGTGTGGAATGTGGACTGCCGCACTATGCGCGCCGCGCCGCGCTGTGCCGCCGCATGGGCGGGTCACAGTCGTCGCGGGCACATCCGGTGCACGTCCGGTCGGCATCGCGTCGCGTTTACCTACTACTGCTGGCTGGTCTGCTTTTGCAGCGAGGGCGGCCGGGACAGCGACACGGCTCGAAAACCGATTCGGTCGGCGCGGACTCAACCGCTGCTGTACGAGCAAATTAAGGTGCGGATTCATGCACCCGCGTTGTGACTTGAGTTAATGTGACCGAATGCACTGCCAACAGTGCGCGGCAGGGGCGTGGGCGGGCGGGGTGTACCGCCCGCACCCCGTGTCGTCGATTGCAAGGTGGGCAACTTGTGCTACAGAACCCTCTGTGCCTGTATGCAGGCAACATATGCTTGGCCCCGCTGCCGGACAGAACAGGCACAACGAGGGGGACAACAAGGCGGGGCAAGGATGCTGCTCAGTGTTGTTGGCGCCCCTCAGTGGCCGAGGCGCCCGGCTGTCAGGCTCACCTTCGTCGTGGCGCTCCGCTCTGCCTGCGCTGAGCTCCACCGTCCCTGCCCCCTTCGGCTTTGCAACTAGGTCACGAACGGTCACATGCTCAACCGTACCGGATCCTCTGATTGGTCCTCAGAGTGTCCAGCTCGCTTGGAAAACACGACCCAGTCAGCCTGCGATTCCAGTCCCTTATGGCACTCATGAAATTAATCCCCAGGGTTCGTTATTTCTTTTTTTGGCTCGTTCGCAAAATCAAGCGTAGGTCAGGGGCTCCATTTTGACATCCAGAAAGATGAGTTATTGCAAACAAGTTCATTTGCATTGGGGCAATGCAATGCTCTTGCAGCACACCTTCAAGAACATTTGCCTTGTCCCAATTTACTTGATTCAAGATCACACTTTTCTTGGAGTTGTTTTGGAGTTTTTGAAGGCTCAGAATACGTTATCTTTGATACGCATGTCAGAAAGGATATTAGTTGTCACTGTTATATATTCAGGTGTGGAAACAAAGTTTCATCGTATCGATAAAATAATAATCATTTTGGAGGTGACCATTCTGTCCCCCGTCTTTGTACTGGTCGTCTGTATTTGCAAACCGGCTGGATCTGGCTGTCGGGCTGGAGAAGCAGAAAGTCGAAAGGACTCCTTGCGAAACCGACAAGATGCGAGAAGCCAGGAGCGGCATTCGCCCCGCGTGTTTTTCTGCCAACTGTTTTGCTGCTGTGCTGTACTGTACTAAAAGGTGCGAACCTAACCTCTACATTTCGCTTCGGTTCGCGAGTCCCTACCTCGGCTCAGCCCGAGCGAGACAGCCAGCCCCCTCCCCCCTCTTCTCCCCCTCCAATCCGCTCACCTCCATTTTCCCGCCCACCGGAATGCCGGTCTACCGGTTCCGTTTTTGACCTTGATGTATTCCTCGATCTAGTAGTTTGCCTCACGTTTCGGGGTCATGACCAAGCCGTCGTGTAATAAAAACTTGCAATAGAGAGAAGTAGGATGCACGACCCACCCCAGGGTTCTTTCTATTGTGCCTTATATTTTTATATTGGCACCAGTGTTGTCAGAAAAGTTATGCAAAAAAGCGCCCAATACACGTGTGTGCTGTGGGTGGCATCTCCGCCTGCCTACTAGGCAAACCACATGCACGCCTGTGCAGATGTTGCCTAGTAGGCAGGCGAAGATACAAGCCCGTTGCGCACAGGTGTGGGCGATTTTTTGCATACCTTTCTGATTGGCACGCCACTGGATAGAAGGCATCAAGGAGCAAAGTTGCTAGGATTGTTTGAAGTGTTTTGGAATTTGCTTTAAAATTCTTTCTGAATTGGGTTAAATTACACATGAAACGTGTTGAATTGGTTTGAATTACTTTAAGTTGGTCAGAATTAGCAGGGCAGTTTATTTACCCTTCATCTCTTGCTATAGTCTCCACAGATAGCCTGCCTGTCCCCTG